AATTTAACCAAAAAAAAACTTAAACCTTGCTATAAAAGCAGAAATTTTCAGTGAGGTTTTATATCCTACTATGTGGATGGTTCTTATTTTACGCCTTGCAGCGATTTTGTTCACTTTTCTACAATACTAAATAATTTTACAAACGCATATTTACGCATTTCTGCCATATTTTTGCGTGTTTGTGTTAATTAAATAACAAGTCAATCACAAAGTTGACAAAAATGGAAAAACAAAGATTGTGCAAGCTAACAACAAAAAACTACTTCCTCTGCGATTTAAATTGAATTGTTTGAATTTTAATCGGCGAACTAAATTTTTTCGCTCAGTTCGGCAACAACTTTCGTCACAAGTTATTGCAACTTAATTGCTTGAAGCTGAGAAATTGCGGTAATCAATCGATGAACGATGATGCCACGCTGTAAGAAATGTATGCGTAAGACGAATTTTCCTACCTGTTATGTGTGGTAAAGCCAACCGTTCAGTCTCTGCGGAAGCAATTTGTAAGAAAGTTTCTTCTGCAAAGTGGCGAAAGTTAAATTTCTGTTGCCACTTCGAATGCACGTTTCCCTTTATTTTTACCTTTATGGTAAGCTTTGAATAACTTCATGTTAATTAAAGTTGAAATTCAATTTTAAACTTGACTACATGTTTTTTTTATTTTCCGTTCGTGTTTTTGTCATTTTATCGCAAATTTCACTGTCAAATTGACAGACTAGTTTTGCTATATTTCGAGGACAAAATACGCTTGTCTCAATATATCGGCACGTGATATTGATAAACGTTGGCACTAAACTTCGAATACTCAAATCTAAATATATAAAAAATAGAAAAAGTTTTCTGATTTGACCAATATTGAACATACCGTATGTATGCGGAATTATGATGTCATCAAGCTGCGGTAAAATTTTCCAACGAAGTCGCTATATAATTAAACATGTGACTGCAGCAAAGCGAGAAATTGCACAAGCACAACACCGTTATATAACATAGTTCGACTTCGTGCTTGCCAACACAGATTTTGCCTAAAACTTGAACTTAAATGTCGCGCTTTAATGACATGACGAGTATTAATTGGAATTATCTGGAGCAGTACTGCTATTATGTGCATTGTCGTGAATGTCGTGATAACTGTTTCGTGACGAGTAACATATATAATATAAACCAAAGCCTTTAATTTATAGCCAGCAAATTGAGCAACTCGCAAGTGCTTTGGGTTGGAGACTGTCATATGGCAATATCTCCTTGACACACAATAGAAATTCATTTAGGTCGTATTCCCCGGTGTCAGCCATAGCTCATTGTGTATAGTTCGCTTTGGGGAGTACGGTGGAGAAAACACCTTTAATTCCATGCTGTTGCACAAGTGCATAGACAGCGAAATTTGCACATATGGCTTATAAATTGGATTTCTCTGATTTTGCTTATTTTTATTATATATGCCGTGACTTCCGCTACAAATATGATGTGCTGCCTTCACAGCAGCTGTATGTCTTCTTGCTTCAATTGTTTTCGTATTATTTGTATTGCTGTTATTCGTATAATAAACAGCAAAACAGGTGACTTTATAATACACGGAGAGTGCCACATCGATCGCTACGTCAATTACTATACTCAACGTCAGCACACAGGCGGCTTATTGGTGCCACACATGTGTGGCGTGTGTGTATAAATGCGACATGCCACTGACATGCGACAGCCGTGACACAATGTCAGTAGGGGCGACGGCAGCGCTAACAACACTTGTCATTGTCTGTTGTCACTTTTATTGATGTTTCTATGTCGCGTGGCTTGTTTATTATTATCCGTTATTGTCCCGCGTCCTTTTGTTTTCTCCTCGCTATTTTATTTTTCTGCGCTGATTGTTTTTGTTATTTCTGTGCATATGCGATTTGTTGCTCTTGCGACAACTGTCTGCATTTTACTCAGACTAACACGCGGGCATGGAAAATGAGTTGAATGCAACATAAAGCACACGCTAGCCTGTGTAGCTCGTAACGCGATTCTTACCAAGGACTCTTTACGTAATTTGGATCCGTAGTTAGGTTAATGCCGGCATTTATGCTTTAACTATTATATCACAGAGTTAAAATTATACCTTGCCATTCATGCTATATGCCTTGCTGAGTTGGGAGAAGAACGCTTGAATATTTGCAAGCTTGATAAAAAATGTATGCATTTTCACCGAAAAATATGCTTTTATGAGAGGAGAAGAAATAAGAGAGGAGCGTAATTTAATTCTATATTAATATGAATATTACATGAATTTGAAGCGAAAATGCTGAAAATTTAATTGGCTAAAACAGTAAATGATATATGCATGCAGATCGCGCTCACATTGAAAAACTGAAGATTGTGCAAGAATATTAATTTCATTGTTTGCATTTACCTGTCAATTATAAATATTTATACCCTGCATAGGGTATATTTAATTTGTCACGATATTTGCAACACCAAATATGAAACGACAGCGATATAGCTGTGCTTATAAGGACAACTTTTTGTCGTGGATTATTGTCCAAGGCAACGTTGCAATCTCCGAAGACAATGCAATTTTCAGATCGAGGCTCTACAGCATATAGCTGCTTACAAATTGACCGAACAAAGTTCTTGTAAGGCTTCTTTTGTATTTGTGAAGGGTACTATAGCTTCAGTGCAATCGAAGTGAACAATTTTTCTTGTGTTTATTGACGTTTGTCGCTGATATGCAAATGTTAAGAGAGTTTTTTAATTCATTTACGACTTCTTAAGCGATCCGTAGTTCTACAAAAAAATAACAATACTAAAAGGAGATAAATACCTAATTAATAAATTCTCTATACAATTGCGCTCAAGTATGAATTTCTTCTCAACAATCGATATATTTCACACAATAGCTTGAATTAAAAATTTCCTGAATCTTGAATTATCCAAAAATTTAAGAATAAAACGTATAAATTAAAAATAATTATCAAAAGACTATGAGTATCAGTACATATTATAGTTCAAGTGGGAATATCTTGAATATGGTCGAGTAATCAAAAAAGTATCTGAGACCATTTTTGTAGAGCATTAAATTTCCTACAAAAGTCTGAGAAGTTTATTGGATAATAATAATTACTACGTAGGTCATAAAATTCATAAAAAAAAATAATTTTTTTTTTCTAAATTCTTCAATCTTTGACCTTAAATATCTTTTAATTGTTTAGGTTTATGAAAAAAGTGTAAGACATCAATTTTGTAGAGCGTTTAATTTTCTATAAATTATGACGATTGTATGGGTTCAATAAGCTATTGGAGATAAGATGTGATCTTTTTAATATCGAATTAAATTGAAAATAGAAAACTATGATGAGCATCATGTTCCCATTAAAATTAAAAGCTCATACTAGGTGAGTACTCTCTAAAGGTGCCTAGCAACTAGTTTTTGTGTGTCAGATCAAAAAATAAAAATAAAAGTTTTTTTTGAACCCCCCTATTATACATGTATGTATGTATATAAGTACACACAAATATTTGTTTTCAATGAATTAATGTCACACATACGCCAATGTGCACCTGCTCCTTCGCTGCGTCTAGTCTTTGAAAGCAAACAAACTGCAAAACAAATAAAGTTAAATATTGCTAAAGACATGTGTATGTGTGTGTGATACATAAATGTCTGGCTGCGCAGGTGATATCCCAGCAGTAGAGCACAAGCATTCAACCGTCACTTAGATTCGGTGAGATGCAGCTTAGAGTCCTCCACAGTTTTGAAACGTTTTATGGTCCATATAAATATTATATTTCTACAATATCAAACGTTGTTTGGAATAATTCGTAAGCATATTAGACATCATTGCACGGTCTTGTTATTACCAGCTAACAGATTTAATGTTCTCATATCATTTACTAAATACTGTATATCGTGTATTATCAGAATTTTCCAAACAAAGTACGAGATTGTCTTATCACTCACGTCCCACGTTTCAGAAAAGTTATTCTTAATTTATATGTATAAAGTCTTATTCTACAAGCAACAGGCCCATGTCTTCATCATTCATATCTCAGGCTTCAAACTTAAGACCAAAGGCATGCATCCACCTGAAGATAAATATACTTATACTTTCACCTGTGCTTTGTTCTTATTAATTGTGCGTAGCATGCTCTTTATCAATTAAAAATATAATTATCTACTTGCGGCTGCGCTCTCTTCCTCCACTGCTGAATTAAAATATGCACAAGTTTCGCATTTCATTCGCTGCACTTCAGTCGCACGGAAGCTTAACAATTTTTGGCGTTGCTTCTTACACACTCGTCCTATGCTTTATAAAGATCCAGTGATCTGCGTTCGGTTAACGTGTCGCTGTCGTCGTCTTATCGAAGCGATTGCTGGTGGATGCACAGAAAAGTTTCGCTGCCCTGTCAGTTGCTGTCGCCTTAGCACTTGCCTCGCACCTCGCTTTCTGATACGCCGCTGTTGGCAACTTAAGTGACAACAAAAGCTGCATCTGTGTCGCTTCGCCGTCGGCCAAATGAAGTGGCGACGTCTGCAATTAAGCCGACAGCGTCAGCAACAACAATAAAAAGCTTAACTGGGCGATGCTTTCGCTTTGCTATTCTTTTGTTTGTGCGACCCAATGCATGTGTGTTGTTGGCCACCTGAAAATCCGAGTCAAAAATATAGTAATTGCCGACTTAACGCTCAGAAGTCGAAATTACTCGCCGGAATTAAGCTCCATTGTTCGCGTTGACTGTCATTGTCTGAGGGCGCTGCTCGTGTGTCATTGTGTGAGACGTTCAAACTTACATATATATATAAACAGTTTATTGTGTGCATATTTCTATTGAAGCTTGCTAGGTTTCTCAAATTGCATTTGTATATTACCTGAAAGAGACGGCTTAGCATTCGGAATAACCAATTATTAACTTGTATTAAAAACATATATACAAACACACCTACACACACATATATATGTTTATTGAATTATAATTCATCTGCAATTGGATGTTTCATTGTAATAAATTCAAGTTTCTCTTTTCAGGAGAATTGCACAGCAATAAAGCAATAAACAAAACGCTTGCATTCATCACCTTCCATAACAGAAACAACAATAATACCAATAGCAATAGAAGCACTGAGGCCGAATTATACCTTGACTGTGGTCAACATATAATATTAGATTGCGCATTCATCACCCGCCGCTGCTACCTCTGCAACGAACGAATGAAGGCATCTTGCCATCGAAGGGCAATCGATCTATCATCATTGATTAATGTGATTCGCCGTAGCGCCACTTTAGTCAAACAACTGGAAGAGGACCATTTAGATGCGCTTTAGTGCAGCCCGAAGATAACACCGACTAAGTGAGTGCAGCCATATGTGCTTTTGTGTGGGCGTGATTGTCGCAAACACTCTATGTGGCACATAAACAAAGCAATGCTAGGTGTTGCCCCTTGAGCACAATAGTACGCTCAGTTAACATTCACTCCGTTGGCGAATGGCTGAGATTGTCGAGCGCTGGTTAATTAATTGACACCCAGATAGGCATAATTGTCAAACACAATTCGCTTTGTTGTGAAACATTTCAGGAATTCGCCTTGAGTTACCGACTAAAAGTGTCAACAGCAGAGTGCGCCATATACATGCATATACCAGCATAGAATTTACCTATGCACTTGCATACATAAGTACATAATGGGCGTGTGCTTGCTGGTAATAAAATTTTTTATGGTATATATATATGCCAAAAAATCACATTTTTATTTGAATAAAGTGCTCACTTTAAAAAACTGTTCACCGCATACAATAGTTTTTGATCATTATGATAAGTAATCAATTCGTGCATAAAACCGTGTGCAATTGTTTCAAATTTATTGAATTACAAATGTTTGTACATTTTTTATCACACCGCTGAGAGCAACGCTACCCATGTTTATTGCCTGTTAAAGTTAGGTTCAGCAGTAAAATAAAACTATTAAATTATTTATTTGAAATTTTAAAATATCTCTTTGTGAATGTTTGAGTGTGTGTACCATATATACATATATATGTGTATGCAGGATTACGCCGCAGCGCAATATGAGACCATTTGGTGAAAGTGGTAGTTACTAGAAGTTCTTAAGTGCTATCGAAGTAGTAAGAAAAATACTAGTTTATAAATATTTTTGCTTGACTTTTAAATAAAGCCAAATAAATTTGTTGTTATCATTTTTTGAAAAATTTGTTTATGCCGGTATATAGGTAATTATAATATAAACGTAAAATTGATCTTTCGAGTGTCTAGGACAGTTAACTATAGTCTCGGAATATATAACATTAATTAAGCTGTAGTAAGAGCTTTTTACTTCTATGTATGCAGTACGAGCGCATTTTACTTTTACTGACAAATATATGTTTAACCAACATTTTATTTTTAATCCTTAAGTGATACACAATTGAATTGAATTCTTCGGCATATTTTTAACTCGTATTTTCTGCAGGAACCCGTTAACTTGAAGAGTCACATAAAGTGGAAAATACTGATCGCTTATACGGAAAACACAAAGCCAACCAAAGAGTTAAACTCTTTTTAAAACTTATCCTCAAAACTGAATGTCAAGTATTTAAACTGTTGAAAGATTCCCAGACTCAGATAAAAATAATCACTTCAATCGAGTGAATCATTTTGATCACACAAATATTTCGAAATAGGCTAGGATTATGACAATATGCACTTTAGCAATAAAGAGAAATTAATATTTTAACCGCATGTACATCGCAAACGGTACAAGCTGCTCCAAGCGCTAGAGCTTTGTCTGCTTGATAGGCCATTGCTTAAGAGCAATATGGCGCAACACACACATAAATTAAACTAACCCTTGGAATAACAATTTAACAAAAACAGAGAACAATCTACACTTGCACAGAGTAATAACTATTTGTGACACATGCAATTTGTTATGCAACAACAATATACACTACGTCTTATGGAATTACGACAATTAAATTATGTAATTAATATCATTATCTATATATACTCATTACATACATATATGTTTATAGATACTTACTTACCAAAACCTACTTGTATATATAAAACCACATTGGTGCTTCGCGTCTTACACGATGTTAATATTTTACGAGCACACGAAACAATAAACAAAGCTAACTGCAACTTAGCCATGCCGCTAGCGACACACCGCACTTAAGGAGATAAGCTCTAAAACAACAGTGAAAAGTTGAACTCAGTGTTGTACTAGAGTTTTGTGAATATTTAACTGAAAGAAAGGAAGTGTAAGTAACTCAAGCAAAGTACAAGCAGCAGCAAACTAATCGCATTACACGTTTCTAATAAACGTGTGACATAATATTGCTATATAAGTATGAACAGCAGCGGTACTTTTCCACTAATCCAAGTTTCAGTGAAATCGAATTCTCAGAAAAATTGATTATTGTTATATGAAAACTCTAGCATCACATGCAAAATTTAGTGGGTGAAAATGTCAGGTAAATAGTAAGTTAATCAACTTGTGCAGAGTTATAAAGCACATAATTCCAAATCTCAACAACAACTTGTATGAAACCTGAAAAATGAATTTTAAAGTGGTGCAATCATTATTTGGTGAACCATTATGTAAATTGAGCTAACCACTGTTGTTTATCGCATTTCGTAGTTGGACCCCTGAGCACTGAGGGATCTACAGCTGTACAAATAGCAGCTTATACGTGTATGTACGACGTATATGGTACAAAACTTCGCGCACACTGGCTCACAACGCTTGCAAGCACTGTGTGCTCCTGAAAAAATACATTAAAGCCAACAGTTAAGCTGACGTCCTTAAACAATTAAGAAATATTCAGTTATTCACATATTTTACATACATACGCCGCTTTAATACGAGTTATTGGAGAAAAGCGATGAAGTAACTACCTTTGTGTATTTTTGTTGTCTGCTTAAAACAGCAATATGGAAAATTTTATCTGACTGAAAGCCTCTTTACTGGTTTGATTAACTTGACACAAATAAATATACCATTCAGAGAAGTATTTTTTTACAGATAATTTTAATAAACCCATTGCAGAATAATTTTGTGTAAAGCAGCCAGGGTTGTAAGTAATGACATTAAAACATAATTGAATTAACATTTGAATTAATTTTTTTTTATCTTGTAATCTCAAATACAGTATTAAAAAATAAAAAAAAAATTATCTCAAAAACCGGATTAAAAATAAATTAAAAATTTAAATAATTTTTTATACAAGTATATATATATTAATAAATTTATTTTTTTTAATTTTTAATCTCAACTACAGGTTGGAAAAAAAAACAAAAAAAATTTTAATCTCAGGCAATCAATTAATAATTAAATAATAATTTGTTTTGGAATTAATATTTTTTCGCGTTCATTCAAACCAAATAATGATATTTTCAATTTTTAATCCCAAACATCTTGGATTAAAAAATGCTAATTTAATTTGAAATCCCAACCTTGGAGTTAAAAAATGAAAATCTAATTTTTGATCCAAAATTTTTAAATTAAAAAATTCGTCACCCTGCAGGCAGCGCTCCCATATTAAAATCATATATGTATCTGTAATGACCAAGTCAGCTCTGCAAGCTGTGATAGTAAAATGAGGTGTGGTAGCCTCAAATAACAAAAGAGGAAGATTTGAAATAAAGAATTACAAAACTAAAAAATTTAAAGAAAACTTGCTCCTACATTTTATTTATTTAGGTTCTACATATCAGCGGTATTTTCATCTCACACTGGTGTAGCTGCGCGTGCGACTTCCATGCAAACACTTGGCATCGTCAATAAAATCAGCACATAAGTCCAGCTCAGTACAGTCCTACGTTTAATTTATAAAATGCACAAAAATTCACAATCCGCTTATACACACACTCTAAATCTATTTATCTCACACTAGTAGATCTGCAATGTAAAATAGGTTTTATGTAAATTGCCTGACGCAGTCTAGGTCAAACAATTCATATGAACACCCTTGCATCAGCAGACAAATCCCTTTTTGAAGCAACTCATACGAGCATTACTCACAAACATGCTTGTACATATGGCAGGTATGTCACTCTGTGCGTCGTCCCAAAATCACATTAATTTGATTTGTGACTCTCGCCATGTCGTACATCCTTAAGCAAATGTAATGTTATATGTATAATATAAGCTTGGCATATTGTTGCCGCCACGTTACTGTCTTTGATTCGTTAAAAAATATTTATTTTTCGCCATCACTTGTTCTTTTGCTGTGGAAGCCTTTGCTGAAGGTCCACAAGTGTCGGTCTTTTGTGTGAGTGAGTAAATAACAAACTTGCTTTCCGAAATAACAAAGTAAATAAGTATCGGCCGAAGCACTGAAAATACCTAATTGTTGCATGATTAAGCTAAAATAGGCATAAAGACAGACCACCTTCAACTTAAAATAATAATAAAAAATCTAATAGGGTGGTGCATAACGCGATTATTTAATGATGTGAGCAACTTGAAAATTAATGTCAATGCAGTATTAAAAATTTATCTTAGCTGATGACATTACAAAATTAAAAGCCAATTTGCTTTCGAGAGTAACAGTTTAGTGTAGATTTTATAACGAAGAACTGAGATTGAAAACCTTGGCTTTCAGCCAAATTGCGACCCCTAAAGAAAAGTTTGTTAAGAAATACAATACTCTATTTCTTACATTTTTGGAATTTAAAGAATATCCACCCTGTATATTAATACAATTTAATTCAGCTACAGCACACACTACTTGTCCATAGATTTTTTATAGCGTAAATATTTAGTTTAATGCACACAGACACAAATGCTGCCCTACGTTTCACCGAGTGACATAAATTTTAACTTAATTTGCCTGCTAAAAGAAAATGTGCTGCAACGTAAAATTTACTTTTTTGGCTTTGAAATTCCCAGAATGCTGTTCGAATTCAGATTGTAACACCATTACTGAAAACTGTGATTATATTTCCCAAAGGTAACATAGAGATATCTGAATTTACTAGCAGCTGAATAGGACTAATATTATCGTAAAAGGGTAACTTGCCGCTCAACGTCTTTGGAATGCCTAGAAAATGCTTATTCGGGCTTATATACTTGTAGTTCTTATATAACTTAATAGCGGCAAACATTAAAGAGAACATCTCACAATTTTTAATAGATTCATTACTTGTGTGAAGAAGGTATTGAAGCTATTCATCAACAGTAAAATAAGTATTGGTATATTTATTTTTTAAGGACACTCATATGTAATTTTCCCCGAACTGATCCATGCGAACTCAGTTAATTGAAATGCGTTCGACAGCCGCTGTATTACCGTGTTGTAGCGTACAATTGTGTATAATTACATTTGACAGCTGTCACCGGATGGCTGAAACTGTGCGAGTATAATAGTACTACAGTATTGGAAATTGCATAGCATAACCGAAAACAGGTAAGAGGAAGAAACAAATTTAATGTTATAAATTTTTTACAGTTATTAAAGCATCTTATTCAATTAATTCGATATGTTTTTTTGCAAATTGCAAATGCTTAAGCAAAGTTAAAGGGTGCTGATCTACTTGTTTTTTCTTTGCTGCAGTCGAATTAGATTGCTGATTTGCAGCAACGCTATTCATGTCTGACTACTTCCCCTGTAAGTTGTTATGCGTTGTGGTCGTTTCCAAAAGAAAAAACTCGTAAGGTGATAAATCCCTGAAAGGACTGCACTAAAGCCACATTTAGGGTCAGAGTGGAAGTTATATGGCTCCCTCGTTCAACTTTTCGAATTAGCGCAGGCAGCGCTGGATATCACGACAGGGAAAATGTACTATTTGCGATGAATGTTTGCGTCTTATTGGTCATTGTTATTACTGTTGTTGTGCGGGAGTATATGCACGGCTCGATAAGCCACATTCTGTTGTTGGTGGGAATGCGAGTTTGCAGCAATATATGTATTAGGGTGGAGCGAAAAGGAATTGTTTTATTGGTTAGCCTGAGGGTAAAATTTGTAAAGTATAAAAATAT